CAGTGTTAGGCATACGTGGCAACAGCATTTGCCATTCCTGCCTTGAGCTCTTTGATACTCACAAATCTGCTTCGATGTATTCATAAATCAAGTAGATTTAAAACAGATTCATGCGTGCTGTTGTCTGCATGCGTTGTTTTATGTATTAAGTTCCGACAAAAAAAAAAAAAAAAAAACAAGCATAAGTAACTTTTCGTGAATGTAATTATGCATGTTATCATCGCGCCTCAACTGGTTAGACAGATGGCGGTGAAACCTTACGTCGCAGGCTTTCAACATCGACCAGTTCCAGCTGAAAGCTCCTCTAGAATTTCATGACTAGATTTTATGCACTGAGGCTAAGTAATGAAGGCCTGAATAGTCGCTAGTATTGCCTAAAATAGCCAGAAAGGAGCTCTCGATAGCTTCAAAATAGGCTTGTCCGCGTCGCTAAAAGCATGAAATGAATAAGCTACTGAATATAACTAGACAATTTTAAACAACGCAGCGTATCAACACTTTCTACTAATATCGGCCTTGTTCTGTTATTATAGGTTAATACTCGTACCCAACTTTCCTTTCATTTGCGTCTGATTATTTCCTAGTCAGGCTGACATTGGAACCAGCCCATGCAGATATTTGCAGAACATTGCGTTGCAGATGACAATCAGGTCAGAGGAGGGCCTTAAATCGGCCCCACTGAGAAAAAGGAAAGGAGTACCTTTAACTACATGTACGATGAGCTTCATACATCTCGGCTCAGCTAGCGTTACTGCTAGCATTTTGTCAGATGGTGGATCGAAGGCGGCTAGAGATCTTTATAGCTCATTTTTGAACTAGTCGGACATTGACTAGTATACCGTGAGCTCTATTTGCTGTAGCTCAAATACCTCGATTCATTGGCAAAAAAAAAATTTTCTCATCAAAATCTAGATTAACATTTTGCAATTGTCTCACGCAAGCTCTCAACAGTTGCAGTGTCTACAACTTTGTTGCACTTATCTATGCCTATACATACATTAGGTTGGTCCAAAAAAAAGTTACAATGTTAAGCTCGCAACCGCTAGGATTTTGGTAAATGGAAAAAAGAATACCTGTAGTTTTCGCTTAAAAAATGATATTTAGAACTGACTCAAAGCCTGTGAAGTTTTCCGTGTATGTATTTTATATAGGGTGAAAAAACTCTTTTTCGTAGAAATGGTATAGAATTCCTGAAAGTCAATATTTTTCGATCCGAAAATTTCGTTTCACTCCAGAAAACTTCCAATAACTATACCCAATTGTTTGTTTTACCGTTTTTTCCAGGGCCAAAATTTGGAATTTTTTTTATACACATCTAGATTGACTTTACCATTTTTTATTACTAACGATTTTTTTATCGGTCCCCCGCTGAATTTTTTGGTTTTTTTCGGGGACTTTTAAAAAATATTTAATATTTAAAAACGGTTAAATAAACAATTTGGTATTGGGATTGGAAGTCTCTTAAAGATAAACCGAGTTTTCCGATCGAAAAATATTCATTTCCAAGAATTCTATACCATTTCTACGAAAAAGTTTTTTTTCCTCTATAAAATACGTGAAAAACTTCATGGACTTTACGGAAATCTAAATACCAGTTTTTTAACTGATTTCAAAAAAAAAAAGAAGGGGGTTATCAATTCGTCGGAATATATATATTTTTTATGTTTTTTTAAGGTAAATTACCGCATAACTTTGGACCACGTCAAACCTATTTCTATTTTCTATTTTTTTTTTTTTTTGTTAAAGGAAAGGTGGTACCTCAGATGTAGTCCAATACAAATTTAGTTTGGATCCGATCACTGGATCAGGAAGATATTAACGGTACTATTAAATTTTTATATGATTCGGTTTGGATTTTTGTGCTTTTTTCCATTTCGAAAAATTCTAGGGGGTGAGAGCTTAACTTTTTAAATTTTTTCCCCCCGCATGTATTTTTGAACCACCCTAATATACCTAGGCAATACACTACATACGTAGTAGACTTGTTCAACTCATAAATTTGTCTACGTACATACATATATCTCCAGCATTTGCTGCGGTTTTTCCTCCAATTTTTGCAACATACTAAATCTTAATAAAAAATGCGATCTTGACACGTACATACATACATACATACGACCATAGCTGATGTGGGGTGCGCTACAGGGCGCAGGGTATGATTTAGCGTCTAAGTGCATTGCAACGGTTGCATTTTTGCTATATATTTTCTTCATCCTATTTTGTGGGAAATTTTTAGTAATATACATACATATATTTTTTATATAGTATTTTTCTATTGTTCTCTTTCTTGTTGTTGTATCTTGTGATTGTTAATTTTGCTGTAATTAAATGTTAGAAGCTAGCAAAAATAATTGCAAACCCGCAAGCAGATAACAAATGAGTGATAGTTGGCAATTTAAGTTGCTAATGAGTTGTTGTTCGTCAAGGCGCTGATGCCAATCGTCATCAAGGTTCGAGTGGTGAAATTGCGTTGCAGATTATTTTATTGATGGAGAAATTCAAAGAATCACTGAAAGCTAAAGTGCCATGATGCTAGACTTTTGGGAAATTTCTCCAACGATCTGGGTGGCTTGTAACCCACTTATCCTGTGAAAATGGCCACCCTAGCTCAAGCAAAGCAGGCGCATAAGAAACATCTTGGGCTCGGAAAGGTTTCACCAGGAGATTTAAAGATAAAATCTGGAAAAAGTGATTTCCAATCGTTTCACTTGTGAGCCAACTGACGCCAATTGGAAATACCAAGTGAAGCCAAGTCCCTCCCCACCTGGTCTTTCCATTGCAGCGGGGGCCTCCCTCTTCCTCTGCTACCACTAGCGGGTTTCGAGTTGAATACTTTCAGAGCTGGAGCGGCGGAGTCTATTCGAACGACATGGCCAAGCCAGCGGAGCCGCTGTATTTCAGTTCGCTGCACTATGTCTATATCGTTGTAAAGCTCATACAGCTCATCGTTCCATCGTCGGCGGTACTCGCCGTCGCCAACGCGTAAAGACCCGTAAATCTCCCCCCAAAATCTTCCTCTCGAATACTCCAAGATTCGCCTCATCGGATGTTGTCATGCTTCTGCGCCATTTACCAACACGGGTATGATGAGTGTGGTTTTCGTAAGTCGAGAGAGGACTTTACTCCCGAATTGCCCACTCAGTCCAAAGTAGCACTTGTTGGAGTGATTCTGTGCTGAATTTCGACCACAACCATTCGCTTTGCTTTCTAATCCAACCTGGAAAAGGGGGAACAGACTTCGCGGTTCTTATTACCGACGATATCGATGTCATCGACATACGCCAGCAACTGCACGGGTCAGTTCTACAGCTCTTATTATCTTCTCCAACATCAGATTAAAGAAATCACATGAAAGTGGGTCGCTCTGTCTGAAACCCAGTTTGGTGGCAAACGACTCGAAGAGGTCTATGGTAGATTTTCCAGGTCTAAAGCAACGCGTATAAGGCCCAAGCAGTTCGTTGACGGTGGGCTTCAGTCTTTCACGCAATACTCTCGATAAGACCTTTTAACCTGTGTGGATTGGGTAGAACACACTTAAATTCCAGTCGTCGGGCATGCGTTCATCTAACCATATTCTGCATAAGAGTTGATGCATGCACCTTATCAGCTCCTCGCCGACATACTTGAATGGCTCAGCTATCAAGCTGTCAGCTCCAGCAGCTTTGTTCTTCTTTCAGCAGCGTAATTGCTATACATACCTCGTATAGTCAGATTGCGGAACCTTCCTGGAATGCTGGTCTCGTTATTCGGTATACGAGACGAGCAGTACGTTCACGACAGTTATAATTCGAAATATGCATTTTTGCGTGACGAGTTGCTCGTTCAAGACTGTTACGATTCGATCCCAGTTCGGCGCAGAGTTGCTCATCTTCATCTTCCAACTTGGACAATTTGAGGCTAAAGAACTAGGCTAGTACTTCTCCTACGGTGCCAAGGTTCAGTATGAGCACTTAGATGTTTAGGCTTCTTAGGACCTTGTTCGCATGCCGGCAAATGATTGCCACATCGGGTGCAAAACAGTGCTCACTCGTTTATTTAGAACGCCACTTTATTCTGGGATATGATCCAAAAATATTTCATGCTAAAAATGGGCCGAATACAGGTGAGTGGGAGTGGAACCCCGTGGGCTGGCTCTTACTGAGCAACCTGGCGCTGCATTGTTTATAACAGAGCGGTCAGTTGATTTGTAAGTGGCTTCTTTCGTACAGTCCTCAGTTTTCCTAGCTCCAAAGGCTGAGTTATGCATAACTTAGATGCGAAACGAGAAATCACTCGATTACGAATGTCACGATTCGGGTCCTGGATACACTTCCAACACCACTAGCATACCTACTGGGAGGAATAGGTCCACGCTATGCACATGAAGCCCAGGCGGCTTCAGGACACAGCAAGTGGCAGTCCTAACAGATCTGAAGCTTCGTCCACTGCAACTTCGTCTTCTATTACAACAACAAACGATGCAGGACCATGTTACTGCTCCGTACTTTTCTAACGATTTCGGTTGTCTGCGCAGAGAAGAAGCGCAAGCTGCCAAAAGCAGCACCTAAAATTTTCGGCTTTCTTAATGTCTCAATTGTTCTTTTGTCGATCCATATACCGAGGCTCAGTTTGATCTCCTACATCCAAGTTGTAAAAAGGGACGTCGTTAATTTCATAAAGCAAAGTGTTACGTTCCGTCCAGTGAAGAAACTGATACGGTCTGTGAGAGATAACCGTATATGCAAGAGACAGTCGGTTCTATGCTACGAAATGACTCGGGTTTACCCCCAACTAAGTACTGTGAAGCGTCAGCAGTTCAAGGGTTTACAGGCAGTTAGCCATATATTTTACATTTCTCGCTGTTATTCATTTAAGAATATAAGATGTTTCATGAATGTTTAAACATTTTTACCTTCTTCCCCTTCAAAAAAAAAGTCCACAAATGCAGCTGCTACTCCAAAAATATTAACACATTGCTTTAGCAAAACTGTTTTGTTACAAAATAATTTATTTATCTCTGGTAATGTTTCAGTTGCTTACTTAAACTATTTTTTTTCTTAGTTTACAATTTGTCTTTTTTTAAATTTGCTTAACTCTAAATTATATTACTATTTTTTGTTTAACTACAATATTTGATTATTCCTGTTTTGTTGAATTTAATGTACGTCTGCAAACGTCCACGTACCCTTCGTATATAGTATAGATAATGTAGAAATATATGTATATGTATGTATATAAATATCTTACCATATAAAATATGTATACATATAGATGATAATATGTATGCGTTCATTAAAAAAAAAAAAAACAAATGTCGGCTAAAATGCTAATATTTTCCTTTCTGTTTGCTTAATACTATGCAAATACAGTTGCAGGCATATGTCTTCGACGGTCTCGGTCCGTTTGTGTCCACAATTTCATTGAGATTTGTATCTAAAAATATATATTTTGTTCTAGCTGTATGCGATGATAAACTGAATTATATGTACAAATGCACTTGTTTAGCGGCTAAATTAAGTCTATTTAGCTTACATGACTAAATCAGTGTAAAGTATTTTTGTTTTTAAAATTTTTTCTTTTAGTTTCCAGTTTATTATGTGCTCAGCATAACATTCTTTGTATAAAAGTTTTGTATAATTGTTGATTTGTTCATTTCGGATATTATTTAAATTGTCTACAGGGACTATAGCAAAATACTATATATTTTTTCTTATTTAATGCTTTTAGTGAAAAACTTATCCCTGATATTGACAGCTTATAGTTTCGAGAAAAATATTTGCAATGCTTGCAGGAATGAAAGTTTTACAGTTTTGTAGTAACTAAATTGGTATGCATGTGTGCGTGAAAGTATAAAATAATTTCTATATATATCCATATAAATTGCGTATTTCAAAATAAATACACAACGACTAATAGTTTTTGTATGATTTCACAAAAACAAAAAACTAAACGCATTCAAACGCACAAAAAATAGCAGCATGATAGCGTATAATTTACTATGTTTTTACGTAAGCTTTAGCATTAGCATTTATGTCCGCCACCCCACTAGAGCCACACCTTACACTCATGCCAAAAACAATACGACTGCGCGGCAGCTGCCAGCCATACGGTTTGTGTAGCCGCCATCACTCAGGAGAGTCCGCCACCGCCGCCGTGTGTATTCCATTGCACTTCATTCATGGACGGCAATGCTTGGTGCATTTGATGATTGGCATTCACCCCTGTGCTGTTACCACCACCACCACTGCCGCCACCGCCACCACTACCGTCGCTGGGTGAATGCGCTGTATTGTTATTGTTGCTACTCAAGCTACTCAAATTGTTATTGTTGCCAGTTAGTGCACCGACAGCGCCACCGTTATTATTGCTGGTCGTCGTTGTTGCATTCCGCGTACGCATTACATCCTCTGCTTGTGTACAGTGCGGCCGCGGACCAGGCTCCGGTGTGTAGGTGAACGTTAAGCCCGTCGCATAGATGATGCCATCATTGCGCACCAACGAAATGGGTACCTGTGTGGGCTGGCGAACCTGGTTGGGAGATAAATTTCAAATTTGAAAAATGGGGTTTGTGAGGTTTGAATTCTTTTAAACTGGTTTTAAAGTCGACTATTTCAGAGTTTTAGTATAAACATATTTTTGGACTACTTCTTGTTTTGGTTAATATTTGAAACTTACCCACAACCATTCGCCACGAAATTGCGAAATCTCCGGCACCACACACAACAGCGTCTCTGTGCAGCGGTACATTGTTTCCGCTTCCACATCGCCGAACCAGACTTGTAGGTGCGGCGTGAAGTTGTCACCGCTCAGTTCTAGCATGGCCACATCGCCGCCGCCATTCAAGTTGAGCGAATTCACGATTGGCACAGGGGTGACGGGCGAGCTGTTGAAGGATAAATTTTTTTTTATAAGAATAGAATCAAATAGTATTTGCGCAAGCAAGATGCAGTTGCAAGCAAAGTTATTAAATTGCTAATATAGCTTTGGCCTTATTTACTTGGTACTTGTTGAAGAATTGGCTCGTAGAAATCTTGAAAATAAATGAACAAGCAACAAAAAAAAAATCCCTTCCTACTCACCCCACAGGACCCATGCCTTCGTAGAACTGATATTCAGCTTTGTCTGTGGAGATGATTGTCCAGCAGGCGCCATCGTTAATCATCTCCTTATTTGGTTCTTTCGGACAGGGCGTCGCCTGGAATTGTATAATTTTCTCCTGCGACAAGCACAGATACATATGATCCGTGTCCTTCATGTAGAAGGCACATTTATGAAGCTGTGACACTGGATCGTCCGCCTCCAATAATGCCATTTGCTTGTCCACTTTGCGTATGATAAGACGCGGCAGCGCCATGCCTGTCACCGAGCAAACAAGCTTCACCGTCGCGCCATAATGAATATAGCCATCGCGCACCTGGTTGAAAGAGAATAAATATTTACATACATACATAAAGGGATAAAGGAAGTGGAATAAAAAAAATCCACTTAAGCTACCCACCTGAAACTCTTCCGATTCCGACTCATTGTCGTCCAGCAAGTGTATCGTGAAGGCGCCCCATTGCGTCGACGACGCATGAAAGTGTCCATTCTCCACGTGCAGGTAACGCGTCGACACCGTTTGTGAGCGCAGCCGATTGAAAAGCGCCACATTGGTTCCGCTCGCTATGCATAGATCGGCATTCTTCAGCGATTGCTTCTTTTTCGATGGCTTCGATATGACTTTGATGCGCTTCGAATTGAATACGCCGATGTCATGGCCATTGCCATAGAACATTTTCACCGACAACATGAAATGTTTGCGCTTATCCGAATCGGAAATGAATAGCGTCTTGGCGGCACAATATTGCTTGCCATTCAAATCGAGCTGTTGCATATCCTGATCCGAGCTACCGATGCCGATGAAGGCGCATAGTTGCGCACAATGTTCGCCCTCGCCCTTTTGCAACATTTCCTCGTAGCGGCGGCGCCAACCGCTGCCAAAGAGGTAAATACATGGTGGCGGGCAGAAGAAGCGCTTCTCATTGCCGTAGGACTTTTGGGCGACCTGCAGCATGAAAAAAAGAGAGAAAAAATTTATAACTGAATATGATTGAAATCTTAAAATAAATTAAGTTTACAAAGAATTTATTTGTTGCATTGCATTTTTTTATTAGCGAAAACCACAAGAATTTCAAATTGACAAACAGAAATAATTTGCAAATCGATAATTGCAGAAAAAATGCGATCACCGCGCGGTTTTACATTTGAATGGCGAAAAAACAACAATAACAATAGGCAGGCAGATAATGCGAAAAAATGCTTTTGCAAAACGATCAATGCTATTAAATTACACAGTTCATTCAAATTTCTATTAGAGCGCATACCTGGCGCTCGGCGGTTGGCAGTCTCGGACGGTGCGCCCAAAGGAAATGTGTATTAACCAACAACAACACACAAAGCTACAATAATAAAGTAATGCAGCAAGAATTTTATTTTGAGTTGCGGTTGCACGAATTGTCGCTAATCAGCCAAGCAATCGTCGTCTAACAAGTAGACCGCAAGTCGCTCACCGCCTGGCAGCCGTCAATAGCCGCCAAAAGTGCGGCGCTGCCTTTGTCAATGGGCGATTAGAAACGACCTGGCCTGGCCCTTGTCTGGGTGCTAACTACTGAGTGATTATCGCTGCCGCTGCCGCTGCAACGCGGCAACACTTGTTGCGGCCACATCCTTCACACTCGGCTGCTTACAAAAATTGTAAGATTGTCGCCGCTGTTGCGGCTGCTGCTTTTGCCGCCGCCTTGCGGTGCAACATTAAAAAACGCAATCAAATAATTGAATTTAATTAATGAAAATTAAAATTACAATTCTCTATCAGTGCTTCTTTCGTGCTTTCGATTTGTCTACTTGCCATTGTTATTATTGTCGCGTTGCAGTTTTGCGCATTTGATTGATTTTGGTTGCAAATTTTTGTCGCTAATTGCTTTGTTGCGGTTGTTTTAATTTGTTTATTTTTTTTTTTTTTTTTTGTTTTTTTTTAAGTTTTTTTTTTTTTTTTTTTTTTTTGTATGATTTCAAGTTATGATTCAGATTTGATTTGAGCGGATGGATGATGAGGCATGAAATGAAATTAATTGTGCTGCATTGTGTTTTGTGAAGTTCGAAGGCGTTTGGTTTGTTACATAAAGTTAATTACTGAATTAAACTTTGAAGTCTTTTTTTTATTGAGATACATATTAGATATTTAAAATGTGGTTTAGGGTAATAATGCAAATTACTTTTTAATATTACAGCTGAAAGTAATGGAAAAGTGAAACTTTTGAAAAAATTCCAACCCAAAACCTATCGCCCTAAAATACATTTTTCTGCGATAATGTTTTTATTATAACAGAAGGAAAACTCCCCAAAGAGTTTTAGGAATCAGCTGGAGTGACAATCCTTGGTCAGATATAGATCTGGATCCCTTTTCGTATTCACCCAAAATATCTCATCTAACACTCTTCTCCTTGGTCTGACTTTGGGGGTCATTATCCTACCCCGTTTCAAAATACGCACCATGCGGTTTTGGTTAATTTATACAGAGGTAGACAAGAATTTGCTCATTTAGAAAAAGACCATCGTAACTAAAAACAAGTCGATTTTTTAGCAAATGGTGCAGCATTAAATCTGTCGAAAACTATTCGGCGGCTATTAAGGCTATATAGCTTATGTCAACCAAAGGCTTAAATGCAGTTAGGAGCTCTTGTAAGTTCCAAGAATTTTAACATGGCGTGATTGGCAAGGTTTATTTCTTAATTTTTGCATTCCTTTGGAAATCAACTAATACCATTGCTGGGTGGCGCTGGAGTTATTGTCCCAGCTAGCCAAATGCGGAGCGCTTCGAGTAGGGAGTGAAAAAGGACTCCCACAGCAACACCTGGAAGGAGCGTTTTCGGAATGCTCTGAATATGGAGTCATAAGGGACTCCAACAGCAACACCTCGAATGAGTGTTTTCGGAGCGCTCCGAATGTGGAGTGAAAAGATAGTCAGAGTCTGTAAGATAAAAAATTAAGTTTTCAATCAAGAAGGGGGTCGTCACTTCGGAATGTACCTGGAAAAGGACACCGCAAAAAAAGCTGTTGACTTATTTACAGGTAAGTAAGTAATAATGCAACAAAAATATTTTCGGTTTACGTTGCTGGTTCTGACAAAGAATTCGAACATTTTTTGTTTTGTTTATTTCATGATTTTTTTTTTCTTTTTTTTTCTAAATAATACATACACTCACGGCAAAAAGTATTGGCACAGCGAATTTTGCACAATATATACACCAATTTCTATTCTAATAGTTTTCCGCTAATTTTTTATAAAAGTATGATTCATTATACAACAAAAATCATAATTTCTAAACTTTGTGCAAGACTCGCGAGAATTCAATAAATATTAATGCAAATTTTCAACTTTTTAATCAGATTTTTTTGAATTTTCTTGTGTATTCAGTTTTGTAGCCCATTAAATTCTGGTATAAAAAATGCAAGTTCGGAATTAGTCAAAAATCGCATTGATTTTTGAGAATTTTTTTTTTGGTATGGAAGAGATTGCGTAAAAAAAAATTCGAAAATCGACGGTAATTCGTAGCTAATTAGATCTTCTACTTTCTTACAATAAAATTGATTGGGCTACAACTCTATATACTCAAAAAATTCTAAAAAATCTGATTAAAAAGTTAAAAATTTGAATGAAAATTTGCTGAATTTTTTTTTTTTGCACAAAGTTTAGAAATTATATTTTTATGTTTTTTGTTGTGGAATGAAAAATAATACAATAAAAATTGTTGCATATATTGTAAAAAAGCAACTGTGCCAACCCTTTTTGCCGGCAGTGTATGTATATTAAATAATTTTCTTTAATTTCAAGATTTTTGAATAAAAAAATTGTGAAAAAATCGAATACTTTTGTATGGATAAATTAAAAATTACATATATTAGAAACATTTCGAAAACCGGTAAAGCCTCTTTACCGGTTTATTATCGGAGCACTCCCAAAACACTCCAACTAGCTTATCTTCGGACTACATATTTGATTAATCCTAAAGGCACACTTTTTTAGTATATATTGAGAAGGCACTTTTTTCCAGCGGATATGCTCCTTTGGAACTCTTGTCGGAGCCTCCTTAGAAGCTAAGCGCATCGCAGAGAGTTTTAATTGTGCACCCTGCGGACTCCGCTGGTTGGCTGGGTATTGGCTGAGTTAGTAAATTAAATTCGGTCGAGCTATTCATATGGCCTATATTCAGAGTATGTAGGCATTGTATGAGAACGATTACTTTTAACAAAAAGCTTAACTTAAAGACGACGATTTAATAGTTGTTGTTATAGCGGCAAATTAAACCGTTTTAGATTCATATTTAAATAATTGTCATTAAGCTCAACTAAGAGTAGTCCCTTGAAATGTGCCTTTTTCGACGAGCTCTGAACAAATGGAAAGGCATATTAGTGGAGTAGACTTAAGGGGACTTTTAAAGATATGGTTAGCTTCATGCGGGGAACCTTCACATGCTGAACCTACGTTGGCTACGTTGTCATCGAGACTCCATAGCCAGAAGTTTAACCTGCTACAATAGCCAAATCGAAGTTGTGTCAGAGTAACGCAGAAATTTCGTAAACGCCGAACCTCTTCCCTGGACTTTGATCTCTGATAGTTGCATTCACGGGGCAACAATTAGTGAATGTGCAGATGTCATTTATTGTCTGTCTGTCTGTGCAAAGTCGGTCCAGTGCTTGCCGTATGTAGGCCGGGTTCCTAGGCGGAACTTCTGCTTCAGGCAAGTGTTTGTCCTGTTACGCAAGTCCAGTAACTATTTGCTAAGAATTATATTATATTCCCTTACTGGGAGTAAGTGGGCCACGCTTTAGGTGGTTTTCAGTCAACATAAGAAGGCATCCAGTTGTTGTTGAAGTGCGGATAGCTGAGAAAGCTTCATTATTTTGAATTTAAACAATAATGGAAAAATGTAACTCCTTTTGGGCATCCATGTTTAATACTTCTTGGCTTCGAGATTGTATCGGTGACTCTTTTAGACTCTGTGGAAAAGAATGAGTAGAGTCGCAAAGGTTTTGGAAGGCTTTCGACTTATCCACCGCTTCTAGCACAATCATCTCATAGCGGTGTTGAGCTACGCCCTTTACGGAAGCCATGTTAATGCAACGCGAAGTCTGTTTGCACGTAAAGTGGGGCAGTAGTTAAGCCTCAATATTTTCACTAATGGGGAAATGAGTTATCAGACGATAAGGATTTTTCCGCAATGCAAACACTCTCTTAGACTTCCCCGTCTAAAGAGAAAAAGGTAGGCAACGAAAAATTTAGAACTTTAGTTCAGCATTCTACTCCCGCCTGATTTACGGAGTTTTAACATCAACAAGCCTAGGTGAAAGTAAGAGGTATAATAGGTATTGCGAGATTGTGCAGCTTTCTGATCACTCAGCCTGGCCTTATTCTTCCAAAGATGTAGCGTGAACTATCGGTCAAATTAGCTTGCACATTTCTACGGATCCGATAAGGCGCCATCAAAAAAGGCGATTTCTGAGCTCTGCTATTAACTTAAAAAAAAATTTCACACAAAAGGTGCAACTAAAAATATTCAGAAATGAGGTGAATTAATGTGTGACTTAGTGAATTGTAAATCTCACTTACCTTCGCATGCAAAATCACAATAACCATATCGTTGCGTTCGCGCATGTATCGCTCCATTGCATCACGTGTCAACTTTTTATCCTCAATATGTGGCCGATATGGTACACCAACTGTGTTGGAATTCAGGCCTGTAGACATGAGTGGGCCACAGCCGCCCCCAGCACCGCTCAATCCGCGTGGCAACATCGCCAGGTGATGTTGCTGCTGTTGATGTTGTTGTTGCTGTTGTTGATGGTGATGTGGTGAACTAGGAGGCAACAAACCAATACCACCGCCAGCGGCGTGATGCACCGGCGGGCTGGGAGGTGTTTGCGCATAAGCGCCACCTACACCCGCACCAAGTCCGAAGTGTGGCATCTGTGGCAATCTTGCAGCTGCGGAAACGGAGGCTGCAGCCGTATGTGGTTGTATTGAAGAGGGCGGTGACAGCGAGTCGTTGATGTCGAGCAAATGCTGCTGGGCGTGCTGGTGCAGCAGGTGGTGATGTTGATGCTGGTGCTGTTGTGCTGGCGAGTGCTGATGACGGCCGTTGGCAATGGAGCTAATAGCTGTGGGGCTATACTGTTCCAAGTGATGATCCAATGCTGTTGCAGTGCTGCTGGGAGGGGTGCCAATATGATAATCGCTATAACTCTTCATTTAGTGCATGTAAACGGAATGTAGTTGCGGGCAAAAGAGGGAAGCGCGTTTATTTCCATGGTTGAATAGAACGCGCGCACAAAGTGGACACTTTATATAAAAAGCTTTGTGTTTTTTTTATTTTTAGTGGACGAATTGTTTTCCGTGTAAAATTTGGCAGAGTTGCGTTAAAAAAAATTTGGCACTTTTGTTACTGTGTGATGTGAGCGCGTATGCTTTAATTTGCACAATAATTTTATTGGAATTGAACATGAGGACGCAACTTTTGGACACAAATATATTCTATTTGATATATGTAGATAAATATGCTGCCCGCATTTGTTTATCACACACGGCGAAAATGTTAATGGCAGCAAATGTGTGTTTGGCTCAGAAAAATCAACACAAATACTCCACGCAACACAACAACAATAATGCACAGTGGCGACGAAATGAAGAAGCAGCGCGACCGCAAACTGACAGATGTTCACGCTCCCACTCGTTCTATACTTTCCAAATGTTTCAAACACAATTTGCATTTACAGCAGCGGATGTTGTGTTGTTTTATGCGAACAAGTCCTTTTTTATGGAATGCACTTCCTTGCACTTAGTGCATTTCAGTTAACTAATTTTTTCACTTGCACGAGCACAATCGCTTTCAATATTTAAAAGTTATTTTCATTTTAAAGTTAAAACACCGACTGAGCGCTCCGCGGTTGACTGGCTGATTTTTGTTTCGTCTGTTAATTTCGTTTCATTTCCAAACGTACACAGTTGCCAACGGCAAGTGTTACCATTTTTACGTTGGTGTATAAAGAGAGGGTAAAATTTATATATGATAACAGAGAAGTTAGTTAAAGTGCTTTATTCAACAGCATAAATGCATGTGTATCCACGCTTGATTAAGACATTTTGAGCTTGGTTTTTGAATTAAAATTAAAAGTTTTAATTTAAAACTAATTATTTGAGCTTACAGAATTGTAATTGTTCCCTTAATTTTCCCTTTTAACAATATCATGAATGAAGCTACACTGATACTAACGCGAGCGCAAAAGAGAAACGCGAACGACCGACGTCGACGTTTACGTTCCTACCGACTGCGCGCTGCAAACTTCTGCATTCGCCAATGCTATTCCATCGGAGCCCGCGAGTTCCCACGCTAAGCAGCGACGCTTTGAACAGCAGCGCCGTCACCTGTTAGCTTCTCGCCGCTTTCCCACGGTGAGCGGCTTTGTTCTTTTCCGTTTTATTTCTTGTGCAGTGAAGTGATCCAATGGGGAGATGATGGAGATGTCATGTGCGTAGATTGTGTGTTGAAAAATGTGTTTTAAGTGAATAGTTAATTAATAAGAAGTGTAATACAAATATAATATGCAAATTTGCGTTTTGGTTGTAAACCCAAAGTGATTAGTGAGAAGTAAAGTTCTAAGTGGAAAGTTTAGTGATGCCGGTCACCAACCAGCAAATGCGAAGAAGACGCCTCAAAAATGGCGGGGAAATGGCACGGCAGTTATGTTGGTTCAACGGAAGTGCTATTGCTATGCTAAAGGAAATGTGAGAAACAACAGCAGAGGTAGGTGGCGCAGACATACATATACATAGATAAATGTAAATTAATCGAATTAAATTTGTGCAAAAGTGCTTAAATTTGCGATATGCAAAAATTTTCAAAGTACCGTTATATGTTAGTGATGGGAACACCTACATATATATGTATTTATATATAAGGCGAGTGTTGGTAATACCGAAAGACTATCGATGCGGGATTTTTAAGAAAAGCTTTTAAAATATGAACATACATGCATATGTACTTAAATGTGCGTTTGTTGACTTGTTGACGCATATATTATATCCAAGTAGGAAAATGGGAATGCATTACCATTTTCCACCAAGAAAAGATTAACAGCTACGGTTGAACGAAAAGATGCATCGCAATGTAAGCGAGCGGATGATGTTTGAAATCTAACTCAAGTATGTTTTTGTTTCACATTATCTAAACAGCTGCTGCAGCCGAATAGATGCTTGTTGGACTGCCGTGTTGTTGGTCACGGCGTCAAAATCTGTGGCACGGACTTTATTTTTTTCATTTGTATTTCGTAAATCGAAATCTATAGTTTCTATAGTTTCTAGTATCGAATCTATAGTTTCGTAAATCGACATGCAGCACATTGCTTTCGTATGATATTGCTTTAGAGAAATTCTAGCATCATTTCGTGCGTAGGTTATAGGAGCTATCCATTACTTTTTGCATTCCCGAACATTACATTTTCCCACTGGGATATTGTTATATATGCACAAATTTAATTTACATAAAATATGCACGAAGTTGGCTATATTAGTGGTTAATATTTAAGGTAAGATGACAATTTATTTTATTAAATTCGAGTTTATGATTTATATAATAAGCTGACAGTTTTATTCTTAATGTTTGACCGACAGGGTGGGACTAGTCCCGAAATTAATTTTTATTCAATGCAGCACAGGTTTGTGATTTTTTAATGGAATTGATTTTAAAAAATATTTTGAAACTTGCTGATTTTTAAAACTGATTGGCCCGTAGTCATATACTTTGTGTATACCAACACAGAAAGCGCTTGGACCCAGTTCGCTGTGATTCAAAACGGAAGCATAAACCAACTTTCAATACGCTCAGAAATTTAAAAGTGTATTGACTCGAATTTGTTTTCAAATCGCTTTTTTATTTCTCACATCGGTTATAAAACAGGTATAAAAACATCACTCATTTGACGCGAAGTGAATAAAGACTAGTTTTCTTAATACAGCCCGTTTTAAATTTGAATTATTATTATAAGGAATTTGAATTGTTGTTCGCTTCCATTTCGGTCCACCGCGCAAATTAATTATTAATAAAAATAACAAATTTTGTTTACTTTTCAATACGGTTTCTGCGGACGCGCTTTAACGACACAGGTATAAATGCTTGAAAGAAATATGTGTTGAGTCAAATCAACTTTTTGTTAATGCGGTTCTTGCGTAGGGTATAATCAAGGTAATAGAGAAGTTCGAAAAAGATTTTAACGATTAAAATTGTTTTTTATTGCAATCATCAGTTTAACTCTTTTATAGTCAACTTAAAATGCATTTTATGGCAAAAACAGTATTTTAACTTGAAAATGAGGAGAACGCGGTTTTAAAATGGTAAAATAAGGTTCGAAGCTTTGTTTTGTTGTGGAAGTATTAAACGCAATAGCACCCAGGTTCGGTCCCCCACTTCGTACGATTCCAGAGATTATTTTATTTGATTTTATATTTTTTTTAACATACAAATTATTTAATTTTATTTTATAAAATCTTGTTTTATTATCTTTTTTTGTTTATGGTATTTCATATAATTATTTCGTTATTAATCAAAGTCTTTGGAGTTTAATTTTAATTAAAAATGCCACAGCAACTATAATTAAATAAAAAAACATTTAATAATACTTTAAATAACAAAAAAATATGTAAAACAAGTAAGAAAGGCTAAGTTCGGGCGGAGCCGAACATTAAATACCCGGCGCAAGTATTAAATATATGTTTTTTCACCCTTCCGAAACCTTCCGCTAGATGGTAAGCCGAGTTGTAACAATTTTGAGTAAATTAGCGTCCTTCAATTTCGAAATATTGAAGTTTCAAGCAATTCTTAAATTTACCGTTATATGAGAATCGGCCGTTATATTAGTCCGATTTCAATAATTTTCAACGTTTTGCTTACACGTGGCAAGTACAATAACCATACCGAGTTTGGTACAAATTGGTAGAACGGTTACCGGTATACTTATATGTGATCATAAGTGGGCGGTGCCACTCCCATTTTCCAAAATTTTACCATAAACGCATTTCTTGGTAAAGAATTGTTGCAACCATCAATTTTGAAAAAATGAGCTTCAATATTTAATGATTTATCGAAGATTTTGTATTTCTCTAAATTACCGTTATATGGGATGTGGGCGTGGTTATTGTCCGATTTTAAAAAGTTTAGGCGGTTTTTTATGCTGTACCAAGGCCAACAACTGTGCCAAGTTTGGAAGAAATTGGTGTAGCGGTTACCAAGATATACACATGTAACCATAAGTGGGCGTGGCTACGCCCATTTTCCAAGAATTTATAATATTCTTATTTTTCGTCTAAAACTTATTATAAATATCAATTTTGAGTGAATAATCTCCAGTAGTTACTAAAATATTGCAGTTTTCATATTTCTGAAAATTACCGTTATATGGGAAATAGGCGTGGTTATTGAGCGATTTTAAAAATTTTCGGCCATTTGGTATGTTATGCGAAGGCCAACAACTGTGCCAAGTTTGGAAGAAATTGGGGCAGCGGTTACCAAGATATACACATGTAACCATAAGTGGGCGTGGCTACGCCCATTTTCCAAAACTTTATAATATTCTTATTTTTCGTCTAAAAATTATTGTAAATATCAATTTTGAGTGAATTATCTTCAGTAGTTACTAAAATATCGCAGTTTTCGTATTTCTGGAAATTACCGTTATATGGGAAGTGGGCGTGGTTAAAGTCCGATTTCGCCCATTTTCAATACCAACCTACCTTGGATTAAGGGAAACCTACATACCAAATTTCGTTGAGATATCTCAATTTTTGCTCGAGTTATCGTGTACACGGACAGACGGACAGACGGACAGACGGACGGACAGACAGACATGGCTTAATCGATTTCTTTTTTCATCCTGATCATTTATGTATACATTTGTCTATATCTATCTCGATTCGTTTTGGCTGTTACAAACAACCGTTATGTGAACAAAATTAATATACCCTTGTGCACAAGTGCGCTCGGGTATAAAAAATGTTCCCTGGCAGTGGGATACGAATCCACGACTTCCCGGCTAGCTAAATCCGCAGCGCACACAGGGTGAACTAATTAAAATACTCATATCTCCATATATTGCCAGGTAAATTTTTTCTCTTCATATGGATAGCACTGTTCTCTCTCATCTTAACCTAAAGCTGTTTCTAAGATGTCTATGATTGACACAATTTAAAATTCTATTCTAAACTTAAGACTGTATTTTAACAAGAATGAGTTTTAACTTGCGACTATGACTATGGGCCTTTGAATTTAACTAGACATGTGGTATGTTAATGTCTAAATTTGTTATTTTGCAGTTAGTTATCTTCCAACACTGCGAGATATGTACATACCTATTAAGTTATGGCATAAGTGAGAAGACTAAAGAAAACACATAAACTGACCATTTTATTATATAAACTTTATGCATTATCAGCATTAAAAGAAAAGCTCGAAATAGGTTTATAAGTTGTACCAGCTATCAGATATTCACATTTAAACTACTAACCCTTTGCAACAGCTCGTCATAAAACAATTACGAATTTCCTTTTATTAAATTCTTCTTTAAAAAGTGCTTCTTATTTATGCGCTATCTGTTTATAATTGCTATAAATTCCCATGACACTAAATCAATAAATAGGTTAACATATCACTAGTTGCTTCCAAAGTTTTTTGCTTTACCTACTTCTTTGGCAAAATGAACTATTTATGTACCCACATCTGCGGCTAGAATTTTCTTGGAAATATGTTAAACTTAGTACTATCTACTACGACAATTTTTTAACTGAAATGTTCAGACTTACATACATACTACATATGTACTCGTTTGTACAGAAAGTTAAATGCGCCCTTCTATCACATATAATTAAATACGTTCTGAATTATTAAATTGCAGCGCGGGAAACTTTGGACAGTCTGACATGTGCGTGAATTGATTTATGATTGCATAACTACTTAGGAAGCTATCCTGCCACTTAAATTTTCAATTTTTAAAATTTCAAAACACACTTATTGATTGAATATATGTATTTAATAA